TTGTTGTTATGTGCCGTCAAGTCGGACCTGACTCATAGTGACCCCTCCTTGGGTTTCCAAGGCAGTATCACTATGGAAGTAGATTGCCCAACCTTCTTCCTGAGGAGGGGCTGGTGGGTTTGAACTGCCAGCCTTCTGGTTAGCAGTCAAGTGCCTTAGGCAGTATGCTACCAGAGCTCCTGTAATATATGCCACTGTGTGGAAACAGGTAAGTGCCTAGGACAGTATCAAACCTTCTCAGAGGTGATGAGAGGGTAAATTTCACTTTTTAAATGTCAAAATTTATACATTAAGAAAGTCTTCTAGTTATTCAGAATGTCTTTATAAGCCACTGAGTAGTGTGTATGGTACATGTACATCCATTGTTTATAATTAAAATGTCAGTTATATTTCATCCTAACATTTGACCCATAAAGACATTTGTAAATATTAATTTCTCTTATTAATATTTGCAACTATTTAAGTTAGAGTAAATTTAATTACAGCTCATAGGATGCAAGAAGCTCAGAAATAAAATGATCTTTTGCCTAAGTTCATAATTCTGAATCTTATGCATATTTGGTCAAGTTCTGTTTATTAAGCTTTGAGATCTTCAATTCCTAAGAAATTGAGATATATTATTCAATCATAAATAATTTCCAGACACAGAAATATAATTTAAAATGTTTGCAAAATCATTTTGTGTGGATTCTTGCCAGTTTTATCTGACAAAACATTCTGTTTGCTAACTTATTTACCATTTATTTCCTTGCTAATACCTAAAATATCACTTAAGTCTCTCCTCACTTGGTTTTTTCACAAGATACTGTTTTTTACATAACTCACGTAGGTGTCCGTAGATACTGCCCATGGCTATAGTCCCCGAGCCATTGACATGAGCAATGTGACTCTCTCCAGAGATCTGCATGTAAGTACTATTAACTTTTAAAGTATTCAAATTTCATTTTAAAACACCATACTGTATAGCATTTTCTTATGTACAGTTTATAACATGTCTTGTTTAAATGAGGTGATTGTATGGAATTTATAGATTATATCTCTAACTTTTTAGTACTATAAAAGTTGGTATAACTTTTTTAGGATTTTTCCTCCAAATGCTCTTTAAAGAAAATATCCATTTTAAAAATACTAATTTAATTCAATAACTCTGTCTGATAAGAGACTAAGTCCTTAATGAATGATTTATGTTAGGTGTTCAAGATCACTTTAATTAATCATTAAACTATATATATTTTAAGCTTTATCCAGGGAAACTGATGGCATTTTACTTGTTCCAATCCTAGTCATATTTTTTCTTCTTTGTTACTAAAGATCCTATTTATTAAATGGCTGATCTGAGTGAAAGATAGTTTGTTGCCAGAAACCAAGTGAACAGGTCTATATGATGTGATGAAACCATGATAGTGGCATTATTAGTACTATTTATATTAACTATAAAACCTCTTATTGTTTAATTTGTTATTAGTGTATTAAAATGACATAGTAAATTTAAAAATAAAAAGTGAGAATAATCTTAGAGGTAATCTTATTAAAATCCATTACATTACAGTGAGGTTAAAGTGATTTTTCCAAAGTTACTTCCCTGGACTGAGGCAGAGATTAATCTACAATACAACACACTGCCATTGAGTCGGATCCAACTCATAGCGACCCCTTCTTGGGTTTCTGAGGTGGTATCACTACAGAAGTAGATTGCCCAATCTTCTTTCTGATGAGTGGCTAGTGGGTTTGAACCACCAGCCTTCTGGCTGGCAGTCAAATGCTTTAGGCATCACACCACCAGAGCTCCCAGAGATGAATCTAAAAGTCAAATATTTGACTCTGTGTGTAATGTTCGTAACATTTACAGTTTAATTAGGTTTAGATAATTTTTCAAAGCTTTGGAAATTTAAAAAAAAAGAACTTGTAAAATAAATATTTTTTGCCTATAACCAATTTTAAGTTTTCATTATTGAATTAATAAAACATAAGTCCTTAAACATTATAAATAGCATTGAGATTTTCATCAAATGTAAGAGCACTAAATTCTGATTCATAGAATCATAGCAACTCCATAGGACAGGCTAGAACCATCCATAAAGGTTCCAAGGCTGCAGTTTTTATGGAAGCAGACTGCCGTACTCATCTTTTGTCCATGGAGCAGCTAATGAGTTTGAACCACCAACTCTTCAGTTAACAGCCAAGCTCTTAACTACTCTGCCACAGGGCTTCTTTCTGCTGTTACGCATGTGTAATCTGGCAAATTATTAAAATTCTGTGGGGTTCAGTAAATAAAAGAGCTGTTCTTTTTTTTTTTTTTTTTTAGTGCATTTTACCACTAATACTGTAAGCTTTCATTAATTTAAAGCATGTTTTTCTCTTACGTTTTGGACAGCAATGTTATCCTTTTTTTTACTCATTAAAATATAATTTAGGTGCTAAATAATTTTATTCATTTAAGGCTATGGCAGAAATGATGGCTGAGAACTATCATAATATATGGGCCAAGAAAAAGAAAATGGAACTGGAGTCTAAAGGTAATATTTTCTAGTAACCTTTATTAGAAATATCAGAGTCCAACAACATAAGTATATATTTTTGGCAATCTAAGGCATATCCAATGTTCTTCAGCCACAGCACAGTTCAAATGCATTAATTCTTCTTTTGCTGTTTTCATTGTCCAGCTTTCACATGCATATGAGGCTATTGAAAAGGTCATAGCTTGAGTAAGGGCACATTAGTCATCCAAATGGCATTTTGCTTTAATTTTTTTTTTTTTTTTAAATAACAGCAAAATGTATAGTATATCCTGGCTTCAGAATTTCTATGACTCTCTCTTACCCATTTTACCATGTAAATATGTTTTCTTTCTAATGTCCTAGGTCTTAACTTAACTACTTAGACCTCTTTTTCTGACTCTTATCCCAACTTAAATATATCTCTTATCTTCTCCCTTTCTGTTTCCGTCTCCATTTCTCAACCTCAGTGTTTGCCCCAGCCTAGTTATGTTACTCTTTTGTACAAGCTTTGCATGTTCTTTTCTCCTTTTTTTTTTTTTTAATTACTAAAATAACTTCATGTCTCTTGTTGTTAGGTGCCATCAAGTCAACTCTGACTAATAGCAATCCTATGTACAACAGAAGAAAACACTGCCCAATCATGCACCATCTTCACAGTCCTTGCTATACTTGATCCCATCATTGTAACCACTATGTCAATCCATCTTGTTGAGGGTCTTCCCATTTTTATCTGATCCTGTACTTTACCAAGCATGATATCCTACTCCAGGGAATAGTCCTCTCTAACAGCATGACCAAAGTAGGTGAGACAAAGTCTAGCCATTTTTGCTTCCAAGGAGCATTCCAGCTGCACTTCCAGGACAGATTTGTTTGTTCTTTTGGGAGTCCATGGTATGTTCAGTATTCTTCACCAACACCATAATTCAAAGGCATCAACTCTTCTTAGATCTTCCTTATTCGTTGTCCAGCTTTCGCATGCAGATGAGGTGATTGAAAATACTATGGCTTTGGTAAGGCACACTTAGTCTTCAAAGTGACATTTTTGCTTCTTGCCAGTTTGGGCAATCTACTTCCACAGTGATACTGCCTCGGAAACCCAAGGAGGGGTCTCTACGAGTCGGATCCGACTCAACGGCAGTGAGTTTGGTTTTGGTTTTGGTTTTCACAGATTTGTCTGGTGCAATACAATTTCTAGTTTCTTGACTACTGCTTCAATGGATGTTGACTGTGGAAGCAAGGAAGATGAAATCCCTGACAACCTCAGTCTTTTCTCCATTTATTGTCATGTTGCTTATTGGCCCAGTTGTGAGGATTTTTGCTTTCTTTATGTCAAGATGTAATACATACTGAAGACTGTCATCTTTAATCTTCATCAATTAGTGCTTCAAGTCATCTTCATTTTCAGCAAGGAAGGTTGTGTCATCTGCATATACCAAAAAAAAAAAAAAAAATCAAACTCACTGCCATTGAGTCATTTCCAACTCATAGCAATCCCCGTTGGGTTTCCAGGGCTGTAAAACTTTATGGAAGTAGAGTGCCCCCATCTTCCTTCCATGGGTTTGAACTGCTGACCTTCCAGTTAGCAGCCAAGGGCCTTATAATGTCTCTTCTTCCAATCCTGATGCTATATTCTCCTTCATATAGTCCAGCTTCTTGGATTAAGTGCTCAGCATACAGACTGAATAAGGATGGTGAAAGAGTACAACCCTGACATATATCCTTCCTAACTTTAAACCACACAGTATTCCCTTGTTCTTTTTGAACAACAGCCTCTTGGTCTATGTACAGGTTCTGCATGAGCACAATTAAGTGTTCTGGAATTCACATTCTTCTCAATGTCATCCGTAATTTGTTATGATCCACACACTCAAATGCCTTGGGTTAGTCAATAAAGCACAGGTAAGCATGTTTCTGGTATTCCTTGCTTTCAGCCAAGATCTATCTGACATATGCAATGATATACCTCATTCCATGTCCTCTTCTGAATCTGGCTTGAATTTCTGGAAATTCCCTCTCAACATACTGCTGCAACATTTTTTAATTATCTTCAGTACAATTGTACTTGCATGTGATATTAATGATATTGTTTAATAATTTCCACATTCTGTTGGATCATCTTTCTTTGAATGGATGGAAATATCATATGTCTTAGATAGTCATCTTTCAAATCTTTTCTAAACTTACTTTCAATTTTTTTTTTAATTTTAATTGAATGCACCCTACAATGATCACCTCCTCTTTATTTATTCAACATTAGTCTATGCACATATTATATGTTTAACATATTCATGTGTCTGCTCTCTTTAAATACTTCCTATATAGGTTTCCTTCCACCAGCCAGAATATTATCTTCTCTAGCTCAGGACTACAATCCTTATTAGTTTTGTAATTCTCAGTGTACAGTTCTGAGCAACAAGAAACCCTTTATTCATCATTGGATTTGGTAAAAATATCAGAGATAATTTTGAAAAGTGATGGGATAACTTCATGGTGGAAAGCAGAATTGTGATATTGAAGGATGGGGTCATGTAATAAACACTAAGAAACAGAGTAATACCGATGAGGATTTGTCACAGAAACCAACTGAGCTCCTTTCCTCATAGAGGAAGGGAGAGGATCCCATGCACCAAAATAGCTTAATCTAAAATTTGACCAAGACTAGGCATATTGTTCTAGACACACTCCATAAATGTTTATTAAATGAATGATTGATTTATTGACTTGCTGGCTGGCTGACTGGCTGTCTGGCTGAATGGATAGCTAGTAAGTTAAAGAGTTTTATTTAGTAAAATTCCTAAAGGAATGTTGTCTACATGACTATTGAACACAATTGCTATTTGTTACATGAACAGACTGCATGAAAAAGAAAAAAAAATATGTTTTCCCCCCCCTAATTTTTTCAGGATGAAAAAATAAAAAGTAATAAGACTTCATGTTACTACTTTTCTAAATAGGTATGCTAGAAGATCATCATTGGTTTTAATTTTGAGGCCAAGCTTTTAAGTTTCCCAGCATCAAGGTTTTCTTAAGGCACTTAATGCTTTTAGTGAGACATCCATACCTCTACACTGGCTTTTGTTTGTGTCAGTTTATATTGTATAGTTGGGAAACAAACACAGTTATAGTATGTAAAATTATCTTCACTATCTTCAATAATTCTTTTGACCCCATTATAAGCTTTTCCTTTTAAAAGAGGAAGTGATTAGGAGAAAAATTGTTGACCAATAGGGAAAACATTGAAATACAGAGTGGTGGATCTTGGATTTTGGGTTATTGAGACTAATCAATACAAAAATGAGTCTTGGAAAGAAAAGATAAGACACAATTTTAGAAGAGAAACTACACATGTGTTTCCTGAAATTTGTTCTTTTTACCTGTGACTTGGACAGATTAGAATCATTACAGCAAAACATGTTCTGCCATTTCTGCTTCACTACTAAGGAGACATGGATGAGACTGTTGGGAATTTCTTTCTGGAATTCCCTTAGCAGTTATATTTCAGGGCCTGTTGCTGTCCTGTATCTTGGGGGGGTGTCTGTGTGACACGCAGAGAGAAAGAGACAGGAAGAGAGGAATAAGGATAACATGAGAGATCAAGAGATTGAGAGACAGCAGATATGCAGTCATTCACTGGTCAACTGCACTCTTTTTTTTTTTCACCTCATCCTGATCTCTTTTATCATCCATCCTTCATCTCTTTGCAGGAAAATTAATCTGCTTTAGTAAAATCTAGTGAAAATTTCCTCTTCTGCTAACATTGATAGTTTCTTCCTCAAAACCAAAAACCAGTTGCTGTTGAGTCAATTCCAATTCATTGCAACCTCATGGGTGTCAGAGCAGAACTGTGTCCCGTTTTCATTGGCTGATTTTTCAGATCACCAAGTCTTTCTTCCTGAGTGCCACTGCATGGAGTCAAACTTTCAACTTTTTTGTTATCAGCCAAGCACCTTAACTTTTTGTACCACTCAGTGACCCAATCTATTCCTCAGTGCCCTCTTAATTTGCTTTAAGAATCTACAAGTGTTTGGGGGCATATCAGTCAGCACCAGGAATATATCATTAATAGAAAATCTTATCAATGCTACCAAATTAGTAAAAAATATGAAGAATTGTCACTCCTTTCACCTCTTCTTCACCCACTACCACATTAAGTATTTTTTTTTGTTGTTGTTGTTGTTTGCTGTGTTCTGTCATTATGCCAAGGAAAACTCTAACACCAAGCATTTTATCCTTAGCAGGAATTAATTCCAGAGCCAATGCTGAGAATTACTGGGTAACTACCATATGCATATTCATTTACTTCTCGTATTTACCTAATTTATTTCCCTTCCTACCACACAAGATATTTATACTCATATTATAAATGGGAGAGATGAGAGTTGGAAGAGCAAGTAACTTTCCACACTAACACTGCTATTAAGTGACAGAGCACAGATTTAAGCCCCAGTATGGGAGCTCTGGTAGCACAGTGGCTAAGACACTTGCCTGCTAACCGGACGGCTGGCGGTTC